AAGTTGGTTGCACGTAACTGCGCTCTAGTGGCGCCTCTCCTCCGATGATACACAAGTCTTCGTATTTCAACCAACAATCGAAGATTAACTGATTATCTAGCCAGAGAGATCTGTACTTATAGGAAGGATTTACGAGTTAAAAAATCTGAAGTGTTAGGATAATAATTAATTTTGGAAGAACGTACGTCCGTTTCCAATGCCCGTATGGTCTCAGACGCACAACATTAAGCCACTTACACGCTTTAGTCGCGGGTTTGAAATCCGGTCAAGTATGAATACCAGAATCCTTTAAAAAATTTTTAAATTGTTGTGGTTATTACTATCATACTTTATCAAATTACTTATTTCACTCTGATTCACTCCTATAAGTTACAACCTTTGAGAGAAACTTTGAAATCAGTTCTTTATTGGAGTCCGTCGTAACGCAACAGCATAATGGTCAAGATTAACATTACCTTAGTTACATGTTTCGACTTTTAAAGCCATCATCAGACAAAACACATGATTACTATGTTCACACGCTATTGAACTGCAATTTCATTATGATATGAAAGCTGGATACTTGATAACTGTTACATTATAAAATACATTGTATAAAATTGCAGTGAATTGTAGACTTATTAGGAAACGAAAGTTATGGAGTAAAATAAGGTTAAAACTCTTCACGTGATATTGCATATCATCAAGTCAGTTGTTGCAGTCTTGTTACGTATATTCCTGCGGACATAATGGTATATTCTAGACTTGTATACATATAGTAAACTGTATACAGTGTATAGTGTAGATCTTTGCATTTTTTACCCCTGCCATGCTTGCTACATTCCCCGCTCATCTCATCCTCCTTGATTTGATCACCCTTGTGATTGAGTTAACCACATCTTAATGGAAATAGTACTGCTACGCAATAGTACATATGTATCTACTCAATAAACATAATTTTATCCACCTTTCTGTTACTTTGTCTTAAATCCTCATGTTCTTCTCAAAATTTCAATCGGATAGGGCGAGAGACCAACGTCACACCCGTACAAATATAGAGAAGCACAATATTAAAGTAAAAGTAAAGGTATCCCTGCTACAGACCGCGGAAGGGCCGCGCCATAGCTCAAGCGGGTAGTCGCTGGGCTCTCACCGCGGCGGCCGGGATTCGACCCAGGTTCTCGTCAACTTGGATTTGTGATGGACAAATTGGCGCTGGAGCTGGTTTTCTCCGATTACTTCGGTTTCCCCTACCAATCTTCATTCCACCAAATTCTCCATCATAATCACCCGGGGCAGGTACAATAGGCCAATCAGTGGCCGCCGTGCCGAGTGGACCCAGTTGGACTCCACCCCCCACTAAGCGAATTAAGAAAAAAACAGGCCGCGGAGGCCCATAGGGATGTTGAGGTTCCCACATTTTCTAGACAATCGGCTCATAGATGTCGGCAAGGTTGTCAGCCCTACGTGCCAGCCGCCCCTTACCCCCAAGAATATTCCTGGTACTCATTTCTGTTAGAGGCTGAGTCGACCCCAGGGCCACAGTGCGGCTGGAAGGATTACGTCAATTGAAAAAAATCCAATTATCTAATCAGGACTTGATCCCGCGACCTTCCGGTTTGTAGCACAGTGCCTCAACCAACTACGCTACCACGTGTCCCGAGCATAATATTATGGTTACGTATAATTTAATCATTAAGTTTGTAGATAGGAAACACTGAGCAAAATGGCTAAACCGATAGCTCTTCAGACTTGTATTCGGGATATGACCAGTTCGAATTTCGACCGGGACATCTGTTACCTAACTGAAGTTTTCATGGTTTTCTCCAGTCCCCCAAGGCAGATCCTGGAATAGTACTGTAAAATTAGTCCTTGACCGCTTCCTTCCACATCCTTCTCAATTCATTACTCACTGTCATCCAATCATTCAACGCTATGTAATGTGAGATTCTGATAGCATCGTCAAAAAAGCCTGAAAATGAATATAAGGCGGGCTGATAAACTAAAGCTGAACCGGCCGCTAGAAAGCATTCTCCGAATTTAGTATCCTCTTAGTTTCTTCATGAATGCAATTTTGACGTGTGATGCATCGGTGTTCTAAGCGCCCATGGGCCCAAAACATTTCGACCAGGCACGACAAAGAGTTTTCTCGTCTCCCCCAATGAACCTACAAACAACGGATACCTCCGGACTCAGAAAGAGATTGTACTGCGGCTCGTCGAATGTAGGCAGTCTGCAGTTCGTTAAGTGAATGTTGTATGGGAGAGAGAGCAGTATGGATACTGGGGAGACTAAAAACAGAGGCAACGTACTATCTCTACATCACATCTTATCGCCCTTCAATGCAAATGCAGTTCGATTTCTCATTACGGTGTCCCAATTACTTCAACTTATCCATATTTTCAAATAAGCAGACCAGAAGAGTATTTATAACTTTTAATTCCATTCCCTCCTGATTTACTTAAAAGTTCCTAAGATGGCTTCTAAATTGAAGGTTCAAAACAATGAAGCACATTATAGATTAGGAAATGCATCGAATTTTTCGTGGGATTCGTTGAAATATATTTTGACTGGGTGAACTAGTTTCATGTCTATGCAAAATTCAATGATAATACTGCACAGAACTTTTTTCTTAACGAAGAAACAGCTGATGCGCTATTTTATTTTACTTCAGTTTTTTTTCAATATTTTATCACTATATCGTCAATTGTGTCGAAATTCACGCTGATAATCCACAACAATTTCGTCTACATGTAGCTAACCTTGAGAGAATAATGGAGGAATATATTTTCACAATTTAGGGCTAACTATAGATGGGGTATGAATTGGTGAATGGATTTATTTACCACTTATACATGTCATTCGGACCTATGTACTAGTAATTACAGCATTATTGCTGATATCCACAATTTACTAATCACCGCAGCAGCCGCTAAGCCTTCTAACAGCCTTCCGTTTCTCCAACAGAAGTACCCTAGCAACGGCTTCTAACAGTAGAGATTCTTCAGCTTCCCGCGCTCAGGTCCTCTTGTCACAGCCGCCCGTGCAGAACTCTTGTCCACTGTCAGCTCAACTGTAGCGCCATCTCTTCTCAGCCTCCCTTACAGAGCTCAAATAAACTACCAACCCTCAACTCTCAACTGAATTGGTTGCCCCAATTCTCTACTTTATAGCCACTTTTCGCGGACCTAATAGAAAACTCGATTATTGTAAAGGCGTGTTTACCGATCCGTTGCTTCGAAACAGGTTGCTTAACCCCGTTTTGCTATTGTTGCGGGTGTCATATAGCAACGGCCGCTATTTACGGAGCCACCACTTAGCAACGGGTCTATATGCCACAATATTTTTTAGTACTAGACAAACCTAAGTAAAATCCCAATACAAACATTGAAATTATACGTAAGTGAACAAATATGAGTATATGAGTTGCGCCAGTCTGCTTGCACCTGTTCTCACTGTCTCTTCGCTTGCGGATTTTCTCATTTTCCTTCTACCCTGAAGATGGTGGCGATACGTTCCTCCGAAACGTCGGTTAACACCACATCTACACGGTGCCACATCCCAGAAGACTGCTTTCTTCATATTAATGTACGTTTGCCTAGTAAATATGTCCAATCTTTGATGTTCATTTTCCCGAAACGTAAATGTCAGATGCACCTGATTTGACTCGTAAATATGACGACCTTCACTCTGTCATTCAATGTCTGTCTCAGTGCCTAACTTCTACGCCTTATTCCAATGTGTTATTTCAATTTGGGAATATTAAAAATGACCTTCATGTAGCTTTAAACCAACATACGTTTATCACTATATTTTTTTTTCCTGAAATTGGGTATTTTGCCCAACGTGCTACATAACTCTAATGTTAATGTGACAATAACGAATGAATGAATACCTCAAATTTACGCCACGTGTTATGGCCACACAGACAGTAAGGTGGCGTTAATATGCCATTAGTCATTCGTGTTTGCTCCATGTCATTACATACTTACTTACTCATGGCGCTGAGCCCTTCTTGAGGAGCCGCCAATTGTGCAGATACTCAAGAATTTCCCAGCATTTTATGGAACCCGAAAGTTCATTACAATGTTCACAAGAACCCTCCACTGGTCCCTATCCTGAGCCAGATCAATCCAATCCATACCATCCAATCCTATCTCTCTAAGATCCATTTTAATATTGTTCACCCACCTACGCCTTGGTCTTCCCAGTGGTCTCTTTCCTTCTGGTTTTCCCACCAGTATCCTTTATAAATTCCTCTTCTACCCCATTCGTGCTACATGACCTGCCCACCTCATCCTCCTTGACTTGATCATTCTAATTATACTTGGAGAAGAGTACAAGTTATGAAGCTCCTCATTATGCAGTTTTCTCCAACCTCCTGTCACTTCATCTCTCTTCGGTCCAAATATTCTCCTCAACACCCTGTTCTCAAACACCCTCGGTCTATGTTCCTCCCCTAATGTCAGAGACCAAGTTTTACGCCCATGCAGAACCACAGGCAAAATTATAGTTTTGTATATTCTAATTTGTATGTTTTTGGAAAGCAGGCGAGAATTCAAAAGGTTCTGGACTGAATGGTAGCAAGAAAAACCCGAGTTAAATCTCCTCATAATTTCCTTGAATCAGGGTCTGGTTTGTTAACGTCGTGCCCAAATATCTGAACTGTGCCCATGTCATGACAAACTTAATGCCATGTGGCATTGTCGTATGACGTCGGTCCTTTAAATTTGCCCCAGCGTGCTGTGTAACAACACATAATACCCCGATGCACTAACATGGAATATTAATTAGTAGTGCAGCAGCACTACTCTGAGATATTAATCCTCCAGGTTTACCCCCAACGTGGTACATAACAACACTTTCGCTTAGACACTAATATGCGATATTGATTCCTCAGCTTATCCAAAACCTGCTAGTAATGACACTAACACTATTGAAGTATTAACGGTCAATCTCAATTAATCGTCTCTGTAGGCAACATGTATCCCAACAGTGGGCGTGGCCCAGAGTCAACTCACCTGCCACGTAGCCCCTATCAGCACCTGTGGGCCCCGAATGGAGGTCGGCTTCTTGTGCCCCAGCCTTCACTCCCACGATACACATAATAACCACGGCCAACTGTACTGTCCACCTCATTGTTGGGGGCCTTCTACTAGCTACCAGCGCTACAGCCGTACTGCTCGGGTAGCCGGGCTTTTAGGCACCCAACCAGTCCCGCGCATGCCATGTTGCTCCGTAGTGTAAAATTCAGACACAAACATGACAATCTGAGGACACCAAATAATCCGTAACATCACTACACCTGCTACTGATTTACACAATGTTTATGTATACTTGTGTTCTGTGTGGGTATAAAATGTGGTCACTCAACCTGAGCGAAAAGAATAGATGGGTGGGTTTAGAAATAATTGCTAAAATGACCTAAGATATATAAAATGTCGGGAAAGGAGGTAAAGTATACATCACAATTTGTAATTGTTATGTAATATTGTTACAGTCATTTAATCAAGGGTGCCATAGGCGAAACATGGGGACGGTAGCACGCACTGGGGAAACAAGAAAGTAAGACGAAATTTGAGTTCAAAACCTAAACCGATGACTTGGACGACCAAGACGTAGATGGGAGGAAAACATTAAAATCTATCTACTGATTATAAGATATATGAACTTCTCATTGTAGTGACCGTCTTCTGTGATGTGAGACCGTGTAATCTTGTAGATGTTTACCGACATTTCGGCGGAAGGTGCTCAGTACCAATAGTAAAGATGGATGACTTACGTTCCTCCTACATGTCGGTAAACACCTACCAGACTACATGGCACCACGTCCCAAATAGACAGTTTCGGCAACATAGTGCCATCATCAGGTGCTTCATTTACGTTAATCTATTGCATTGCTTGCCATTATATGTCATTGTAAAATTATTTAAATGTATTCGTCAACTATAATAATACAGTTTTCTTCATAGATAAGCTGAGGAGCAATGGACTGGTCTGTGGCTCATGGTATACTCCAGTAGCCCGATCTTTTGAACATGTTGAAAAAAAAATCGGGTTCTTTGAAAACAGGGATTTCTGTCGGTTTCTCAAGACCTCAAGGCAGATCCCCCTCAGTGGTGTAAGGCATGTACTGCTATGTAGGTACGACTGTCGGCGTTTGGACGAACTTCAGGCGCACCGGTCTCCAGGTACTAATCCATGGCGACCTAAGAGTTTGTCTCGATGTATAGTAATCGGTGATTGCGGTAACCAAGTGTTCTGTGACGTCTGTGACCTCTCTGTGACCATGTGACATGTGAGCGCATGTGAGCCGTCGGTAGGTCGGTAGCCATGTTGTAAGGAACGTAAGGAAGCTAGTATTTGAATTTAAAACTTAAAAAGTATTTTGGAATCTTCATAGTGTACAATAGTAATAATGAGTTTAGAAAAGGTCAGTATAATGATGTGCAAGTTACAGAATGCTGGCATTTGTTATATGTTTTCTTGACATACAGGGTGCTGATTACATTCAGATGGCTAAGGTGTTCTAATTGTGGATCACTTTGGTATGTTAATACACGTGAATGTGCATTATTTAATTATAAATGATGTATGAAACATGGCAAATATAATATAAAAAATATTGACGTGTGAGGGAGGGTAAACTTATAAATCGAACATTAGTTTGCAAAGTAAGCGTAACTGTATCTTTCTGAAGGAGGGGCTGGCATTCTGCTTCATATTTCTGAGATTCCAGATATGATATTTAATCTGGGAACTACCTGGCCTGAGTGAAGTTTATGTTAATTGTCATCATTGCTCTGTGCTATCACTGAGATGATATCTTTAAGTAGGCCGTGGCCATTTCCTTTCAAATTTATAGAGGATCAATTTGTATGATGAGGGGCGTGAAATAAATGAAGCATCAGCGAGGAACGGCAGGAGAAACTGTATTGAACCCTCTTTCAAGGGTATGTTAACTTTTAATTCCCATGCGAGTGAAAGTATTCCCATACTTAAACTGTAATTGCCATATAAAACTAACTAACTTGAATGAATGAATGTATAAGGGGTGGGCCTTCTTGGCCCTTGCACCGCGACCACAGATATATATTGTGCCTACCCTCCTGATTATCCCCTCAACAATCTTGAGCTTCGAATGAAGTGCAGGATTTTGTACATGGGGACATCAAAATAGTCGCTTGGTTCCATAAAATATTGACCCAAGTGATGCAATCTTAAATAAGCTAAGGCCTCACATTCACACAGGATATGTGTGGCTGTTTGACGTACTTAGTTACTCATGGAGCTGAGCCTTACTGGAGGAGCTGCCAATTCTGCAGCTACTCAAGAATTTCCCAGCATTTTATGGAACCCAAAGGTTCATTACGGTCTTCACAAGAGCGCTCCACTGGTCCCTATCCTGAGCCAGATCAATCCAATCTAAACCATCCCATCCTATCTCTCTTAAGATCCAGTTTAATATATTCCACCCACCTATACCTTGGTCTTCCCATTGGTCTCTTTCCGTCTGGCTTTCCCAGCAATATCCTATACACATTCCTCATCCTCCTTGACTTGATCATTCTAATTATACTTGGAGAAGAGTACAAGTTATGATGCTCCTCATTGTTCAGTTTTCGCCAACCTCCTGTCACTTCATCTCACTTCAGTCCAAATATTCTCCTCAACACCCTGTTCTCAAACACCCTCAGTCTGTGTTCCTCCCATAATGTCAGAGACCAAGTTTCACACCCATACAGAACCACCAGCAAAATTATAGTCTTGTATATTCTAATTTTTATGTTTTTGGACAGCAGATGAGAAGGTTCTGGACTGAATGGTAGCAAGCATTACCCGAGTTCAATCCTCCTCTTAATTGTGGCAATAAAGCGTCTTGTTTTAATCCAGAATGGTCTAAAACAAGGAGGTGCTTTATCGCCACTCCTTTCAACTTTAGAATATTCAACTAAGGTTTGTGATTTATTTATATTCCTGTACAAGGGAATTAAGTTGGTTTAACATGACTGGAATAGGATGCAGTATTTTTTACTCATGGTCATTTCTTTCTGTTACAAGGAGTATGTTGGTATCAGTGAGGAAATTAGTTCCTGGAGACAAAGAATTTCCAAAATGCAGCCAAAGTGAGGAGTGGAAAAGGGTTGAACTTGCCTACACACTATCTACAAGATTCCTGGTTGATGACAGTTTTGTCAAATACTTGTTACTCATTTTTGTGGTATGTAATTTGGAAATTTAAAGTCTTGAATTATTTTTATTCATTTGCCAGTTCATTTCAGGCCAAATTGTAATTGCAATCAATTATCTAGCATGTCATAAAAAGCACTGTAAACTCTAGTAGGAGATTTATAAGTCAGAATTGTATAAAGGTTTACATAATTATTACTGTTTGTTGGCCGACAGGCTGTCACAAAGGAGAAAATGTGTGGTAATGGAGCTTAGTGGCTTTGGACCTTTTTGTTTTCAGTCCAATGTTTAGGAAGATTCCTTGTACTAAATGTACATATTGTATTGGATGCATATTACCAGTACCACTGGAATTTCCAGTTTATTCTGTCAGCTGGAATATTCAAGGGCATCTGGAAGAATGTGATGTTATGACATTTAATGTACTTTGTTTTTGGAGATGAAAATATGTCCAGTCCCCAGAATGTGAACATACTGAACCAAAATTCTGCACTTTTCTGCTTGACCAGTAATACTTACTGTATGATTTCTGTTTTGCATAGCAACACCTGCTTTTACAAATTCTTGCTTTAAATAAACTGCCACCTTAAATTTGCACATTGATTGGGTAATATAATAGTGTTTTCAAATCTATGTATTGTCTCATACAACACAGACAATTACAAATGCTTATTACTGGTGGATTATAATTTACAGTCATGCAGTTAACAAGATGTCTGCTAAAGGTGTTTGACTTTTCATGTGCTGATTGTGAGTTATTTGTAAATTCAGATTATTGAATTTAAACTAATTGAATACTATTCATGCAAGAATGGTCTTCATTTTAATTTCTTGAGTTATACATATCACACATTATTGCATTATTAGTAGTTAAAAGTTTATAATTTTTTTACGATTCTTATACCATTGAACTCTTTGCTGACAGTTCTGGGCAGAAGAAATTGCTGTTCCTAGGGATGAATGCTAGGGATGAATATTTGCTCAAGTTCTCCTCCCCAGCTGTGCACCAGTTATGAGGGGCCCCAGCATTGAAGGTATGTAGCTCATTTGTTACAGGTCACCTTTACAGCATATAATTACAGCTGGCTGCAGGCCCCTTACAGTTATCTGCAGTGGAATCCCCATTTAATGTTCTTCAGTATAAAGTTTTTCCATATATAACATTTCAGTGATCCAAGTCTAGGTGTTAACTTGCTTCCATTTAAGATATCTCTCAGTTTAGTGTTCAGATCCACTGCTCCCCACAGAAACTTTAAATGTGCGTTCCACAGTATCACAAATGTTCAGAGTGTAGCGTAGTGTTTGTACAGTTTATGTGCTGTACTCAGTTACCTGGGGAGAATATGTGGACCTATGAGAGAGGGAGTAACAGGAGGCTGGAGAGAAAACTGCATAATGAGAAGCTTAATGCCAATATCACTATTGTATGTCCTGTTGTCCCGTCAGTCTTGATGTCATCCTAACATGATGCAAGTTGGCCATACCTGTCTCTTATACATCCACCACATCCCCATGTGTCCGACACACTTCTTGGTAGACTGCCCCGCTTATACTGACATACTTGAATGGCTGCATGGTATTGAAGTTCTGTGTGTTTCACCTGATATTTTAACCCAAGTTTCAACCTTTTGATTAGCCATTGATATGAATCATGTATAAGATGAGTAATTATGCATACTTCTACTATAAAACAGTACGATACCTTGTGTCTGTTACTCCCTCACCTTTCCATTCAATTTCTTTAACTGCTACAATGACAATGTTATACTTCTCCGATTCCAGTTTCAGTTTACTTAATCCTTATGTCAAGAATAAACTTGGCACATTCAAAACAGCAAGATATAACTCACTGACCTTATAACCGTTTACATAGCCATTTCTCAGATTTTTCAGTAAACATAATGTTTAGTAAGGAGAGGCTTAGCCCCCCCCCCCAGCCAGAAGGACCACATGCTGCCCTTTCATCTGGCCCTTACCATTTGACCTGTCTGGCATAGATGACCCTATCAGGATTGTATGCACCCAGCAGCATAGCTCTGCAACTGACCAGTACACACAAACCCCCTCACCATATTAAGGGGCAGGATTCCATAACCAGACAATGGAACCTTTGCTGTTGACAGCATTGTTAACTAAACCATTAATAAATCAAACCAGTGAGCTTGGAGAGGGATGTACAGCTGTGATGTTGTGCAGTGGGCTGACCCTGTAGCTTTGTTTGCTTTTAGTTCCCACATAGTTAGTGGTTATGTCTCCTTTGTCCTTTGCAGTGCAAGGGCACCATCCTTTGGGTGGACATTGTACCCTTAAGATAGAGGCAGTATCTCTCCTCTGAAATGGTAACTTCCTACCAGATTAACCTTGTCATAGGCCAGAAGATAATCTAAACAATCACCTGTACGAGCATGAATTCCTTTGCTCTCACAAAGCATAACACAAGCTTTTCAGATAATGATGAAAACTGTGACTGGTCATTTTGTATATGGAATGGACAGTCCATTGAATGTTAATAGGGCTAATGAAACATAAGGAAAAATAAGTTCTGACTGTGAAGTGATTAGTTTTGCAACAGCATGGTTCCATTAAAGACTGGAGATTAACATCGATGAGGTAAGCTCACAAAAGGAGGAGTGGAAGAAGTTGTTAAATCCTTATTTAATGAGTCTTTAGGGGAATGGCTTTTATTACACTTAATTAACATTTTCACTAAATGGAGGTTATGCAAAATTACATTGAGAAACAGTTAAGCAGTACTGTATAGAACTATGATAAAATAATGACATATTAAATAGAATGTAATGATTATGGCAGAAGGAAGACATGAACATTGTGTTTTGAGTTCTGAAAGGTTGGAAATTACATTACAGTAAATATGAGTTGAAATTCATGACGTATGATAAATGGGGGTATGTCAGCTGCAAGAGGAAGAAACAGGACTCACCCTTTCTCAGTCCTGTAGTATTCCAATACCTGTTTTGAAGTCAGAACATGTTTTCACTCGTGTTCTTATGTGGATGATATATTAGGAGACAAAGTGGATTTATAGGTGAAAGTTTCTGAACTAGGTCAAAAAAGAAATGTTGGCTGCCATCTTCAAAATAGTCTTCTTGAGAACTTACACAGCTATCCCATCGTTTTTTCCATGCTTCAGAAGCACTGTGGAGGTCATTTTCCTTAATGCTGTCGAGTACCCTTTAGTACCCTGTTTCAAAACTTAATCCCTTCTGTTTCATTTTCAAAGTGAAATCACAAGGGGCTAAGTCCAGCAAGTGGGGAGAAGGGAGAACTATAACCATGTTCTTAGTCATAAAATCTGTGGTTTTAGGGGCACGTGGACAGGCATGTTGTCATGATGAAGGAACCAGTTGTGGTTGCGCCCAAGTTCAGTGTTTTTCATCACACATTTTCTCTCAAGCATCTCAAAACATCACAGTAAAAGTCAAGAGTTGACCATAGTGTTAGGAGGAACAAATTCATGGTGAACAATCCCCTTCATGTTTAAAAAAACAATGACTATGCTCTTTGTGATTGTGGGCTCTTCAACTGTGATGATTGTTGCTTTGTTTCTGGATCATAACCGTAAATCCATTTTTTGTCACCCATTATGATCCCAGAGATAAAAGCTGGGTCCACGTTAGCCTTCTCTTGTAGCTCAAGACACACATTTATGCATCACTGCTTTTGATCATTTGCTGTGAGTTGGGGGAACAAATTCACAGTAATGCAGCACATGTTCAGATTTTGTGTCAAGTCTCCTGGCAAACTCCATAACTGATCCAAGCGGTATCTGCAAGCTCATGGATTGTTCAGCAATGGTCTTCATAGATGAGTTCTCAGATTTTTTCAACATTTTATGTCGTTTTGATATTGCTTGGTTGCCCAGAACGTTTTGTCATCTTCAACTGACACTTGACTGGTCTTGAAATGTTAATGTCCTTCAGAAATTGCTGTCTGGCTCAAAGAATGTTCTCAAAAAACATTTCAAAGGTTTTGGTAGTAGATTTATTAAGTTTCATGCAAAATTTGATGTAGAGACATTGCTCGATTTGCCATCCATCGCAAAGAAAACAAAACACAAAGTTGAAAAGGCACTCATAAAAACAATGCATGTACATAGCACGGTGTCATGTGGCAGACTGATGCAATAAGCTTGAGGAAGTGTGACCTTGGCTTCCCCTTATCTTTCATCGAGACAGTTACAACAATAACAGCCCAGGAATTTTCCGATACACCTCGTACTGTAACACAGTCACAAATTCAACTGATCTCTGTGTATCAGTATAATTGTAATGGCACATGCATAAGGGAGGACTGCTGTGCAGTGGGTGAATATAGGCACATCACAGCTTTGTTCCTGAAGTAACATACTTGTATATTTAAAATTTCTGCCAGTTGCATGAGAATTTGGATGCTTGTTTATAGGTGGGAGGGCACCAGTTTTTCATTCTGAGATTACAGGCATGTGTTTGGTTCGTTCACAGATTTGCTGCAGAGACAATGAACATGTAACAACCTGGAGCATGAGAGAACATAGAATGAAGATGTTAAAGTGGGGCCTCTAAGATTCCTGAATGCAAGTCCTTACAGAAGCATGGTATGAAATTAATCTGAACTTTAAACATTTATTTTGATTGTTTTCTATTGAAATGACATTGCCAAATCATATTTCAGAACATTCGTGTTCAGATATTCTCTGACTATACTGTAGCATTGTTACTGAAATAGGTTTTTTCCTTCTTAAGGAGTGATCTTTATGTATGTAGAGTCTATAGTGGATTTTTATTTTTTGTAATTGTTTGCTCAACCATGTCAGTAGCTCAGACAATATACTGTCACCAAGCATGTTCGCTTGGGCTGGACTTGTATTCGGTACTTTGTTCAAATCTCAACTGGAACACAAGACATTTTTCTGAGGTTTTTTCATGTTTTTCCTCAGTCCCTCTAAGCTAATGCCAGGATGGTGCTTCAGAATAAGCTGTCATTAGGTACTATAGTCTGAGCTCCTGGCAGTATCATTAAACAGTATTGAGTAGTAGGATAGTGAATTATGAATTGGAGAGGATGTGGGAGTGGCTGTGGCATCATATCTAGGTACTGCCCTAGCTTCTGTCTGGAGTAACTAGGCTAGGAATTAAAGAAAATCACAAAAGATTCAGGATATGCTTGTTAGTCAGCGATGCTTGGCCGCGCCATAGCTCAAGCAGTTAGTTGCTCGCTTCCCACCATGGCGGCCGGGGTTCGATCCCGGGTCTGGTCAAGTGAGATTTGTGGTGGACAAAGTGGCAGGTTTTCTCCGAGTACTTCGGTTTCCCCTTCCAATCTTCATTACACCTATCATCTGGGGCTGGTACAATAGGCCAGAAGTGGCCACAGTACAAGGGACTTAGTCCCACCCCACTGATGATAAAAAAAATAGTGATGCTTTGGCCCGTGTAGGTTCCATTAGCATCAGTTGGTAGGGCAGTTGTGAATGAGACACTGGAAAGGCTGTAGCTGTGATCTGTTTAAAGGGTGGGACTGAGGACAAATCTCTCAGTAAAGGCATACTTCAAGCTAGGATCTTGTGATTATTACCAGTCTCTAGACTTTGCAGTCAGTAAGCAAATTACACTTAACATTGGTTCATTCTTGGGTAAATTAAATGTTAAAATGTCTGCTTTAATTATCTGTGATGATGGCATATTAGTACAGAAACATTAATTTGTGAGCATGACAGTATGATCACCAATCACAGTGGCCACACATCTTTGCCCACTCGAGGCATGGATGTCTGTGCAAGCAGTCGTGTTGCAGTGGGCCAAAACGCCATCCAAGGAGTCCACTATGTATACATTAAGAAACTGAAAAAGTGGCGATGGTCCAACAAAGGGCTGTAGAGCCACAGATCATAAATGAAAACTCAAAATGTGTATTAGTAATGTTCTTATTTTTGCATTACAGCAGTGTATTTAAATATGCCATTGTTTCATAGCAACTTATTGCTCCCAAACTTGAGTGACTTGTACTTAGCACACGTCACTCAAGAGGGGGCAATAAGTTGCTAGTGAAAATACTTTATTCTAATTTTGTTTTGTTTGTTTGCAGGTTGGGGAGAGCACCATGGCGAATAAGGATGGTTACATGCTGGAGAGGACATGTGCAGAGTGCCCAACAAAAGTGGCGCGTTTCGAGATAGTGCGCATAAAGGACTTCAAATTTTAACAGCAACATATTAAAAAAATATTGTAAGTAATGTTTAATTTCTTCCAGTGCACACTTACATAACATCTTGCATTATATAAAGCCAATCACATGATTACATGCAACACATACAGCAGTTAGCTACCAACAGTGGAATAAAGTGTATATTGTTGTGCAAATAAAAGACTGAGTTCATAGTGATGTATGTTGCTGATGAAGCTTGCATCTCCTGAATCGCACTATCTCGAAACACCCCACTTTTCCTGACATTCTGATACTTCATGTAGTCCTCCTGCAAAGAAAAAATAATGTTAATTTTCAGTCTGAAAAACATACAAAAATATTAAAAAGTGAACTTAAAATTTTTAACATGTTAATGGAGACAGTTGGATTTGAACCTGAGACCTTGTGAATACTACGCTGTAGTGCTAACCTCTAGACCACCAGGGCAGCTCAACAGTCATTTCTTTTAGAACCATACTTAAGTTGCTTTTCTCTTGTTACAGCAGGAGCTCTGTATGGGCTTGATGAGTGTTCTCTTGCTCTCATCACAGGCAACCAACTCTGTCACATCTGTAGTGATCCTGTTTTCTTCTCTGTGGATTACTTCTGCTTTATCCCATTGTATTCAGTGCAGAATACAATGGGATAAAGAAGATAAAATCCACAGAGAAGAAAACAGGATCACTACAGATGTGAGAGTTGGTAGTGATGAGAACAGCAGACAACCAAGCCAATGCATGAACTCCACATGGCTCCCTCTATTACAAGAGAAAAACAACTTAAGTAAGGTTCCAACAGACATTACTACTGAGCTGCCCTGGTGGTCTAGGGGTTAGCACTACAGCCTAGTATTCACAAGGTCTCAGGTTCAAACCCTACTGTCTCCACTAATATCAGAACAAGAAATAAATTTGTCAATGGAGAATCCTGTAACACAATATTCATACATACAATTTTAATGTCTACATAAATGAAAGTAAGGAATACAATTATTTTAATTATATAACTTCTACAACAAATTTAAGTCCTCAACCATCTCCTGTAACCTCTTCAGGGCCCCTATCCCTAACACGAACTCCATGTACTGACATCACCGCTCAGCATCTTTAACTACAGCACATCTACAAAGACAGATAATCATTTCTGGGGCTGTCTTTTAGGATGTGACACGATGCAGTCTTGTAGAAGTTCACCAATGTTTCAAAGGAAGGCACTACCTCCATCTTCAAGTGTTAGTAAGCTTTTACCATGCTACATGTCATCATATCCCAGAAGATAGTACCCTCCATGTCTCTCTCTCTCTCTCTGGGGTGAGGTATAACTTAACACATACAATGAAATGCTGTGTTTAGCGCATACTCTTTCTGGTTGTGGCTGAAACCCAGTAGACTCTGCACTACTCTCTGATGTTTAGTGAATTTCAGCTCAGTGTTTTGTGGTCAAAACAATAATATTCATGCTTTCAGCCACAAACTGTTGCTGCAGAGTAAGTTTTTCCTATATATCATTGTTCTAAAAATAATTTTATTAATCTTATAAGCTGATTAATTTCTTGATATAATTTTGTATAACCACTAGTGGAAACCTTGATTTAGTGTATGAAAAGCTGTTTCTCCAGAGATTCATTAAATCTGGATTTTGCTATATAAACATAAGAAAAATACAATTCTGCACTAGATCCATTTCAAATCAACGAATCTGACTGCACTATCACGGGTATGACATCAGCAAAATCTCCCTGCTGCTCCCACCTTGTCTTTGTTTATGTGCATTTATCCTCACATTTTTAAGCACAAAAGATTATTGAAGGTCATAGGGTGGGGGCTGGTTTTTATGGCCCACCTATTGCATACATACATCCTCACATTTTCCCTCCTTGTTTAGTACAGCGATGCTACCCTCTCTGAACACATCTGTGAGGAAGCAGCTCTGGGATCCCAGAGACCTCACCACCACAGACTGGTTCAAACCCCTGCCCTGAACTCTGCCTGACAAGCCCCATCCTGCTGACTGGTTGCACTGTCCAATTCTGGTCTCCTCACAGTCCTACACTGACCTCTTTGGGTTCCTACTGCAAACTGCTCAACCTTAACAGGGAGACTTCTGCCTTGATGATTTCATCAGATACTGCACTAACCTCTATGTTTGGAATCTCCACCTAGCCCACTGGTGACAGTGAAATGTATGTGATGTGACAGATACCTTTAGTACTGGAGCTCCTCCATGACAGTATGCAGTTCAAGTGCTGCATGGTACTTGCTCACTCACAGACAGAATGTCCACCACTGCAAACAGCTCTTCCTTCGCTGATTCCACTCCGGCACTGTAGACAGTAATGATTACATAGTGCCTTACAATCTCCAAATTCTAACAATATTATTATTGTTGATAATTTGCAAATTCTCTATAATAAGTTTTTTAAGTAATGAATAGTGCCCCTGCCTCTTAAGAACCCCAGGAAAAGGTATAGACATAAAGGAAGTAAACTGCACATGTTCTGGACTGAATACTAGACAGCAGCTATCAGCCTCATGCCCCAGCCACTTTAGCCCAAGAAAATGCCCATCATCAAGTTCACAGCCAGTCACTTGATGTGTCCCACCTACTTTTATCAAGTACAGAATGTACAAATACAAAATGATTCCCTGATTTTGAATTTCCAAACATATTCCATAATTATCATTTATTTGACACACACCTTAACTAGAGGAACTCCTCAGCGTTCCTGTGTAGCAGAATAGGGACTTCCTTGGTGCCCCTTTCTTGATCTGTAGTCACAGGAGTCCTCATGGATGATGCGCACTGGGGGGGAGAGTGACAGGCACCACGTCCTCCAATCAGCTACAGCAGTTGTCACTGATGGCTTTCTAGGGATCTGAAAAAACGAAATGATATTAAGCCTTATAATTTGAATACAAACACAGTAGAACCACCATTTACCATTCCTTCATTTAAGACTGAATTTCAAAAGTTGAATGTTTCAATATTAGTTTTCCCCAATTTAGTGCTCAGACCCATTGCTCCCCAAAGTAACCTTAAATGGGGTTTTACTGCAATGGTGTTGGTAAAGAAAAACTCTTATTTTGCCTGATGTTTTGTATGGGCATGAAACTTGGTCTCTCACATTAAAGGACCAATATAGGCTGGAAGTGTTTGGTCCTAAGAGAGAGGAAGTGATGGGAGGCTAGAGAAAAGTGCATAATAAAGAGCTTAAAAATTTGTATTTCTTGGCAGATATTATTAACTAACTTCTTGAAGCCGAGCCCTTCTTGAGAAGTCACCAGTTGTGCAGCTACTCAAGACATTCCAACATTTTATGGAACCCGAAGGTTCATTACCGTGTTCACAAGAGCCCTCCACTAGTCCCTATCAGTCCAGTCCATACCATGACCTTCAATCTCTAAGATCTATTTTAATATTATCCACCTGCCTATGTCTTGGTCTTCCTACTAGTCTCTTTTCTTCTGGCTCTGCCACAAGTATACATATCTGGATTTATTAAATGTGCAGAAAGTTTTGTCCCTTGGAGCTGAAATACCTTAATGTTCCCACGGTTTACTCCATAAAATCATCATTCTTGATCCAAACCTTTTTCACTTAAATGTTCTAATTAGTAAGAGGAAGTTTTGGAGAAAATCTTAAGACATCAAACTTACTTCATATAGCTCAGTAGGTATGGTGACTAGGCCCCAGGCTGAACAGAGGAACTGGGGTTCCATTCCTGGCAGGGGAAAGTCAGTCTTTTCTTCTCCATAATATTCGGACCAGCTCTGGAGTTCACCAGCCTCCTATACAATGGGTACCAGGGACGGACTCCGTGGGGATTAAACAGCCGGGGCATGAAGTTCGCCACTCACCTGTCATATATAGTGTCAAAGATTTGCACTGTCACCAGGTTTGTAACATATATATAATAATTAAAAATATGTAGATGATTTCAGCCAAGGCAAAGAGATTTTTCCTTTCTCTACAGCATCCAGACTGGCTCGGAGGCCCACCTGTCCTCCAGTCTAATTGGCACCAGAAGCTCTTCCCTTGGAGTATAACTACACTGCATACATCTTAATGGTGTGGTGCTTAATTATGCAGAGGGAGAATTTTACCTTTGTTCTCACAGAGGGGACATTCTGGGATGTGAATGTAATCTGCTAAAAGTCAACTGATGTTTCAGAGACACAAACCACCTCTCTCTGTTTCTCACCTGCTTCTTGCTGGTTTCTTACTTGGCTTAATCTTTCTCCCTGAAGAAGGGGGTGATAAGAAATTTCTGAAATGTCAGTCGACTTTGACTGGACACAGAACACGGAACTGTTCTTACCTTTCAATGTCTGTGGCCTGTCTCCATGCAAAATTTCACATGTTTACATCCAGTGGTTCATAAGTTACCGTCATTTTACGGACAGCTAAATGCAAATTCTGCTTACAATACATTAAAATGGATCATAAAGAAACAAGGTGTGGATGAGAATGAACTGACTCAGGATAGGATCCCAAATTCCACAAATAAATTATTGAAAAACAGAAATGTGTTAATATGTTGTCTTTTAACACATTCTTGTAAACACAGTAATAGACTTTCAAGTTCCATAAAATGTAAGGAATTTCTTGGACAGCTGAGCAGCCATCAACTTCTCAAGGAAATCCCCTGCACCATGAAGTCGGTTATTGAAAATATAAATAATTACTGAAGTTCTGTATAAAATAATATTTTCACAGTTATCTGAGAACTTTCATATTTCCCAGCGGTTTCTTCCCGCTCCTTTTCCAAGTCATCATTCATAACCATCCCAAAATTTCTTACTTAACACTCTGTGGACTGGCAATTTAAATATTTATATCACCCTGGGGACCAGTATTTTTAAATCTACTACCCTAACTTGTGCACTGTTCACTTTAAAATTTAATAAAAAATCGAATTAATTTTATGAACTAAAATTTTTTGAGTACACTTACCAATGCTCCTAGAAGTGCTTGAGAGTGTGATGTTTCTGGAAACATTCCCCTTTGTGAAGTGACATTACACAGAACTTGCAAATGTAGACAGTCATACTCCATTTTTGTGAACTGTGCAAACATGGCATTGCCTAGAAGGATGCTTCCCCTTGGAATGTTCACCCTTCACAATTTTCACGAGGGTATGTTTCCACATATCACCTGAGAGTCGCCCAGGGGGGTCCACATGAGGCCTCCGTGGCGTGGGAGTTGATGGGCCCACTCACACTAAGTCTCTGTCTGACTCTGGTTCTGTCACCACCATCTGGTCTGTAGCCCAGGCCTTTGCCCCATTCATCAGAAATGCTTTGTATTTCAATTTTGAATCAGGGTTTAATTTTTGTAAACCAAAAATGAATTGAAAATGGCACAATTTATAAGCCACAAGGCAACTTTCTTTGTCCACTTTATTGTTTTCCTAAGTTACTGCCTGGTACATACAGCTTGAAGATGAACAAAGGCATTTTCCTGGTGTGGGACAGGAAAACAGCGAGGTCATGTTACAGACTACTAAGCACATTCGGGAAGTCTGTTACGCACCAGTTATGCATCTGCATGGCACCAGAGCAAGGTATAGTGTGTTGCAACATAATGTGTCCTAAAATCGTAATATTATGCGACCGGTCCACAAAGTGTTAACACTACACAATACCCACAACTGAAAATGCAGCATTAAATAACTACCATCACCTCTGCCACCACTAACTAATGACATATATTTGCTGAACTATATTATTAGCCTACTGTTGGCAATTGGTAAGAGAGTAAAACCTGCCTTAAACAGACCCTTTATTAAACAGATTTTGTCTCAAAAGGAAATATTTTCAGGTTCCGTGACTTTGGGGCTGAAAAAGATGTTAAATATCCTGGATTAAACGGAAACAGAAATCATAATAAGCCTTTATACAGAAAATTTCCAGTCTTCCAGAATGCATTATTTAGAATAATTCTAGGCATCCTATACATTCTACAGAATTTTGTTTTCTCTAACTTTTTCAATTCAGGTTTTAACAGTACTGCACTACCTGCACTGAAATTCATTTGCACTGTTTGTCCCTTCTGGAAATTGTAATCAGTAAGGGCTCTAGGCCTATATTTTTACTTTAGCAGCTGTCATCATGACTACAAAGATAAGAGTTGTGCTTGATCTTAACACGAGTAAAAGTGATTCATGCAAATGAGTGAGATAAATTGTCTGTTAAGCAGACCCTGAAGATGTTTAATGTCAGTAAAACTCAAATGTACAAGATTCTAAAGAAGAAAACAGAAATTCTAAAGTGGTGGGAAAATTGTGCTAATGGAGAAATAAAGAGAGAACTTAATAAAACTGCAAATTAAGATATTACGGAAATAGTATGGGAGTGGTCTGTCAGTAACCGCCTCTGTGGGCTAGTGGTCAGAGTTCCTGGCTACAGATCCAGAGGTCCAGGTTCGATTCCCAGCGATACCAGACTTTATCTGAGAAGTAGTGGGTCCGGAATTGGGTCCACTCAGCCTCATGAGGATAACCGAGGAGCTATTTCGAGGAAACAGCAGCTCTGGTCTAGAAAACCGAAATTAACGGCCATGGGGATTTGTTGCACTGACCACGCGAAACCCTCTATTTGCAAAAGTTGGCACTAACTTTCCTGACAAGTGGCAGTCACTCGGTCGGTATAGTTCACTTGCAGACTAAAATCATGGAGTTTGTTTTTTGTTTGTGGTCTGTCAGTGTCGGGGTGAAAAATCACCACATGTCAGGACCTATGGTACGGGAATATGCTAAAAAGGTTGCTGAGAAACTGGGGAAGACTGAATTCAAAGCATCAAACAGATGACTGGAAAGTTTTCGCAAAAGACATCAGATAGCTTTTAATGAACTTTGTGGTGAATCAAGTGATGTAAATAGAGACCACCGAGGAGTGGGTAGCTAAATCAAGGGATATGAACCTGAAAACATAGCGGGTGAAGTTGCTGCTAGTGTAGAAAATGAGAATGACTAGCAGGACTTACAAAATTGCATGAATGAAGCTTTCAGTTACTGCAATGCTGAGGGCTACATCAACATAGACAAAGATGTGCACACAGAACCAGACACAATGGATATCGTTGCATTAGTTCAGAATTTTAGAGAAAGTCAGAAAGGAAGAATGGAGGAGGAGGAGAAGAGGAAGAAAGAGAAAAACTACGTTGTAATAGAAGAAGAAAAGTGAAGACTTATCAAGATGATGTCAACAGTTTAAAGGAACTAGAAGAATCTGCCATACAACAGAATAAGTCAGACATGCTTAGTGTAATTTCTCAAGCCAAAGTGTTTGTGGAAAGTCAGCCCGCTAAGACAGTAAACTGCATGCAAAAAAACTCTGCTCGAGTTCTGATAAAATTATAAAAAGTGAGTACTGCAATTTTTTTGTGTTCAGTGTAATGTTTGCATGTTCAATGATTATAGTGTGAACAAATTAATGACATTTTATTTTGTCTCAAATATGTGCATGTCCTGGTTTAATTATTATAGTATCCCTTGATTAAATGGAAACCTGGCTACAGCAGAAAAATGTTCTGGACCCTTGAAATTCCGTTTAAGACATGTTTTACATTACATTATATCAGAAAATGGTTTAACAGCAGGACTTCAAATTAAGTACAGCTTCTGCTACAAAACATACAATTATCAAACAATTAAAATATTATACACAGCTTCCACTAGCAGTCTGCAAGCTTGACTCTGACCATGCTTTTAAATCACACGGTCTAAGAATACTGTGACATGAAAGCCAGAACAGCCACTGCTAGGCAACAGCCAGTAAATACGTGCCTGCATCAACAAACATGCAAGTTGTCACTAGACAACAGTCCACTTACATGTCACACAACAGAATAGCTTTTGGAAACTATATTTTCTGTGTAGTCCATCCCAAGGCTATATAACTTGACTGGACTGAAACCTAGCGATATCTAGTGAAGACCGTTACCAAGCAATGACTATAGGAGACCACAGCAGACCAAGAAGACATAATGTCTGCAGTAATGATTCATAAAATGTGTACAGTGGCAACAGTATAGTTATGAGTTATTAGTGTTCAATAAATTCAACTATCAATTCAAACCCTGTGTCTAGTTACTAATAATCCCTTACCTGAAAACATCACACCAGTTCAAGTGATGTCACACAGCTACTGTCAGTGATCACTCTGACCATCAACTCTCAGGACAGGTAGCCAGGGACCCATTTTCGATCCCCTCACCTCCATGCCCATGGTTTCTGAGCCAAGGCCAAGCTCACAGATTGCTGGTAGCAACCGTACATTAGAAAGCACTTAAGGGTAGGAAAATGCATCTTCATTTGTTCTCATTCCACTTTAAAGGCACAACACTGAAGTCACCTGTCACAGTACATTATGCTCTATTACATATAACACTCTGTTACCCTACATGACAGTCACTAATACCTTCACCCACTAGAATTCGCTGTCCATTCACCAGCTTGAACTTATAGTCCTTTGGAGCTTCAAACAATAACACAATTGTCGAACCAAGACGGAACTCGCCAAATGGTTGTCCTTTGCACATCTCAATTTTTTCTCCCTGCGGCTCCATGAGGAATGAATCTCGATGTCGGGACTCCATCTTCCGCCATTTGCGTTGATTTGTTATCAGTTCCTGAAGGATAAGCAAAAGTAGAGTAAGCATTCTAACACTCCTCCATCACATGCACGCACTATGCACTGTAATAAAATCTCATTTCATTAATTATTCCACCTTAATTATTTATGGATTAATTATTAATGACACAAAAACACATTCAGAAAGCATCAAAATATTTTAAGCATTATAACAACTTAATAATCCTACATGAACAGTAATGTGTCAATAAGAATATAACAAAGATTATGCAGAAAGCAGTCTTCTGGGATTTGGCGCCGTGTATATGTGGTGTNGCATATTGTTCTGAATAGATGTGGTACTGAAACAAGAGATGGATGAACGAGTATGTTAGAATAAAAGATGACAAAATTACCACAAAAGTAAATTACAAGATGATTATACTATGGATAATCTTCATGATCATAAGAAGATAATGAAGATGGAAACATGTATGTCTACATGTACATGTAAATAAATACATCTGACTGGATGTGATAAAGGTTTATTAGCCACACTAATTTTATCATATGACTCAAGCCACATGATACTGAAGGATCTAAAATTACTTTTCAGAGGTTTCTTAAATATTTATTAATGATATTCTGAGGACAGAATGCAGAAGAGAATATCGGAACCTAAGAGGGAGGAAGCCGGTCACAGTAGCCGAGCAGTCTAGAGCATGCACTGTCTTCGCTCACTCGGAAGCCGTGATCGTGGGTTTGAATCCCACTCAGGGCATGGATGTTTGTGTGCGTTTTTCTGTGTTTGTCTACAGGTAGAGGCCTTGCGACGAGCTGATCACTCACCCAAGGAGGCCTACCATATGTGCAAGATCTAGAAAAATCGAAGTGAACGGAGTTCATGGAGGTAGGCCTAGGCCCACTGGGGCTGTAGTGCCAAGGAAAAAAAAAAAGAGGGAGGAAGCAACAGGAGACTAAACAAGTTTTATAACTGGTACTTCTCACAAGATATTATCAGAGTGTTCAAATCAAAGAGAATGAGATGGAGGGGGCACAGAATATGCATGTGAAATAAGATATGAATAGAAAAGTTTCTTCAAGGAACCTAAATGGAAGAAACCATTCAGAAGACCTAGGCATGGATGGGAAGACAATATTAAAATAGATGTTCAAGAAATAAATGTTAGGATATGACTGCATTCATCTGGCTTAGAAAAGAATCCAGTGGTGGGCTCCTGTAAATACAGCTAGGCTGCTAAAAGAGTTAAGCAACTAACAGGTTCTCCATGACTGCTCTACGGAGTCAGCTGGTATCAGTGACACAGATTATATGATGCTGAATGAAGTGAGAAGATTATTATGTGCAATTAAATGGAAGGGATACAGAAATACGTGATCATGAACTCTTTGAAGGTTGCTGGAGGGACTGAGGAAAACAACAAAGAACGCCAGACTAGATAACAGGTGTTCTAGCTAAATTCAAATAAGATGCTACTGAAACAAAAGTCACACAGATTACCACCCTGTCAGCCTGCTTGCCTTTTTCATAAACATAATGAAGTTTATTATATTATCATGTTCACATATGTGAAAATGATCTCCATCTATGTGTGCAACAGCTTCTGAATCAATGGAGTGCAACATTATCAATTGCAATGGTTGGCAATGAATATCAGAGGGCAATCAATGTATGGTGGTGAACTTGAAGTATCTACAGAGGAAATGGTCAGCTATTTGATGGCTATTTGAGAATCCCCCCCCCCAAAAAAGAAGTGGTAACATCTGAGGTCCTGGCAAATATCTTAAGTAGGTATCTAAATACAAGTCAGCAGCGTTACTGTTTCAGTGAACGTGCTCAGTATGTCTTTAATGATGCTAACTTGCAGCATCCTTGTATGACTAAAACCTTTGGTATGCAATGAAAAAGACAAATATGGATTTTCTGTTCCATTTGTCAAACTTGCTAATTGTGGTATGCCAAGTTACACATTCTGCAGTTGTTTTGCTGACAAAATCTTTGGGCCCTGCACCAATCACTTGTGTTCATGACCGGCTGGCAGCTTGAGGATAGATGCAGGCATGCACACGCACGCACACACACTGAAAAAAGTTACAGGCTTTAAGGGGATATAGTAAAGGTTTCCCTGTGACAGGCCATGGAGGCCCATAGGGTTGTGAGATGTTGAGGTTCCCACATTTTCTAGACAATCGGTTCATAGATGGAGGCAAGGTTGTCAGCCCTATGCGCCAATGGCACTTTATCCCCAAGAACATTCCCGGTACTCATTTCTGTTAGAGGCTGAATGGGGTATAGTACTCACTTAAGTGACCTAAAAAGTCCCAGTCAACAAACTTTTGGAAACAAATCCCTGCTGAGACATGGGTGAAGTTCATGTGATCTCCACAGCAGATGCGCTATGTGGTTCCTACTCATTTCAACATGACCTTCAGCTCTTCATCACACAGAGGTGTGCGCTCTGTCAAAAATTCCTGGTCTGAATTTATCTCATTACAGGCATACTCTCTGTTCACTACTCCAAAACCTCTGAGCCACTAACTAGTGCTGAATACACCAATGTCTTGAGGTGTCCCCACAGCCACAAATGCAGAGGATTAAGGTCAAATGACCATGCAAGCCAGTTGACTGGGCCTTTGCATCCTATCCACTGTTCACTGAAAAGCCTGGTTCAGGTGCTGTGTGACAATGAGGATAAAATGAGGTGGTGCCCCATCATGTATGAAGAGGATAATATGAGGTGGTGTCCCATCATGTATGAACCACACGAGTTATTGCTGATGAAGAAGTACACACTCCAAGAGTCATGGTAAATCGTTCACCAAAATATGATGGTACACTGCATCTATTAGTCTATTGGGTAAGACAAGTATAGCACTATCGCTAATTCACACACTCTGCAGTTCACTACAGCATACACTTAAGTCTTCTCAGCCTGCTGTGTCTTCACCAGCTTTCTGGTAACAACTTCCAACAGAAATGTTCCCCATCCCTCAACTGCCAGCTTCTAACAGCAACATCTCACAAGGACTAAACTGCAGCAATCCTCTAAGCAGCTCATTAACTCCCAAGGCTGGCAGCCACCTCACATCAACCTCCTACTCTTATCACTACCATCTCAAGACTCCCTCATAATCACAGGTGCTCCTCGTTATACAGCCTCGGCACACAATGGACAGAAAACACCTTTTCCAACAGTTCTACTGCTGCATCACACAACTATCACACGGACTATGTAGAGAACACCACTTCCCATTTACTCAATTTCTATGTGTTACGATCTGTTGGGGCCATTAACTAGCAACAGCTGTTGTATAGCTGCTTATTAATGTGGTGGTCATTGCCTAGCAACAGGTCTACATGTCACAATATTTATCAGAATTATGACTATTTCTTCATTTTATTTGTGTATGGTATGTACACACAATTGATTTGGAGTGATTTTTAATACGACATTTGTCAAGAGGTTCTGCTTTGTGCTATCATCACTCAAGTTTTATAACTACTTGAAAGTGATTATTAAATTGAGAAACACATGTCTCATATTGTTTCTTTATGAACACTTTTTCCTTATACTGGATGCAAGGCTGCCTCAAGACTAAATAAACTATACATTCAATTCTATGGCATGCCACAGTCATTGTAGCAGCCAGTTAATTCCACATTACATGTGAGATCTGTAGTGGGCAAAATGGCACTGGGGCAGGTTCTATGTGAGTACTTCAGTATTATCTGCTAATTCTCCATTTCCCTCATCTATCATCCAGGGCTAGTACAATGGGCCCTTTATGACCTATGTATCAAGGGACTAAGTCTCAGCCCACCCTAAAAATCAAAATATTTAAGTCCTAAGTCAATGCCATGGCAGGGAACAAGCAGCAACTAGCTGGAAGTTCAGATGTAGGTGAATCAGGACAAAATTCATTACATTCAGAGAGTGGGATTAAAAATTCTGTGGATTAGTATGTAGTAATTGATACTTTAGTGACTGGTGACAGTAGAGAAGGAAAAGGTAACGTTGTCCCAGTGCTTAACCTTTTGACGTGGTCATTTTAATTCCGCGGCCGCGGCTCCTGCGGTAATATATTCAGCCGGCCATTNTGCATAGATCCAGTTTCTTGACCTCAGCAGTAGGTGGAGGTGAATGGTCAGCTTCATGCCCTGGCCACTTTGCCTCATGAAAGAGCACCCAGTACCCACTGTATGAGAAGTTGGGTGCACCCCATAAACAGTCCGGACAACATGGAGAAGTAAAAATTCTTGACCCTACCAGGACTCAAACTCCAACCTCTTGGTCATCCAGCCCATAGCCAGTCGCTATACCGATTGTGTTATACTAAATGATTTTCAAAGGGCAAACATGCAGAGAGAATGTCTCAATGGATGATTTGGGCCCCAATGTGCAACATAGGACATAAGTGACATTTTCAATATTTTAAACTACTTTTCAATACAGAATTTTCTGGCAGAACGTAACCAAGATCAACTTTTACGCAGAACAATTCTTAAAAGAGTGGAGGGCTGAGGGGGTAGAATGTACTGAAAGAAGACCCTCATTGTATACTTGGAAACCAATAAGATATTATAGGATTTTCCCATAAAATCAGAGCAAATCTGATTAAAAGTGTACTTGTTATAGACACTCCATGTACCACCCACCCAATCTCTTGCCATCTAACCAACCAACTTCACAGAGAACAATCCTTCTAAGAAGCTAAAATTCATTCAGGAATTACCTTCTTTGCTCTGAGGTTATTTATACTGACTTAAATCCTCTGAAGATGATGGGTTTATGGAAAACCCTTCAATGAATAGTACAGAAATGTATGAAAACCATGAAACATCTTTCAAGCTGAGGAGTTCTATCTACTGGGATATAACACCATGTAGTCTGTTAAAAGCAAACCAACATTTTGGAAGAACATGTGGCCTCCATCTTCAGAGTCAAAGAAAAGCGAAGCAAGAAACCATCAAGCAAGCAGGTGGCAAGTCGGATGACTTTCAACAGACTATATGGCGTTACATCCCAGAACTCGTCACACCGCTGCTGTGAGAACCTCAAATCCTACATCTTTTGAGTTATTTTCCTCATTATATACAGAAAGAGTCTCTCATGGTATCACATTGTGAAACTTATTCCAGGCATTCAAGAAAATACAATAATTACCTTATCACAGTAGACATGTATGGAGCCAACATTTGTTGCACCAACAGCTGTCAGTGAGAAGAAACCATGCTTCCAGTGACCCACATAGACAGCCCGCTCATTCAAGGTGAAAAGGTCAGGTATCCATTGTGCCACCTTTGGGTTCACACTCAAGAGTTCTCCTACAAACAAAAATATTCAGATACAAATCACAGAACTAAAACTGCAATGAAATATACTATTTAGCTCAGAAGAAAGTGCATATATTACAAGTCTCTGAAAAGAAACCAAAGAAAATACTTGAAAAGGAGAAATAAAACTGGAGTGGAATGGACCAGAGTATTTCAATTGGTAGTCCCTGGACTGGCAGCAGTACACAGTTTAATTTTTTTTGTGGTTTATTTTGTGAAGTGCCAGTATCCGACATGTATGGTGTCAAATGGTAGTTCACTGGTGAATAACGAATTCAAAAGGATTCGAGAGGAAGCAGTCATGGCATAATCCAAGGCACTATCCTTGCACTGACCTGGAGTGATTGAGTGGGGGGGAACCTCACTTAGGTAGCCAATGTTCTAGCCTAGATTTAAACCAAACACCCAATGAATACATACTCAGCTAATTCAGGCTGACTTGAAAATTCTACTTAGCATCATATTATATTATGATGCGGCACATACCGCCTCTTTAATTAATTATACTAATTGTAGGTAGGATCCCACATTCAAGAGGTATAGAGCTCCAAACCTGAGAAAGGAATCAGCATAGGATTTAGGAAACAGTACATTTCTGGGCCTTACCTCTGAACTCTTAATCTAAGAGCATCACAGGAAACATGTTTCTACAAATACAGAAAGCTACAATAATTGTTATTGGCAAAAATTATGCATAGAACATGAACTTTTTGTACAACGGTACAGTTTATGAAACACAGGGCTATGGACGGATAGAGGCTCAAGTGATCTTGCATTTTAATTCAGCAATGGTTGACTATGTGTATGTGAAATTATAGCAGGGGAGCTTCACCAATTGTTGAGCTTGAGTGTAGTTAAATATACGAATTAAACCACTGCCCAATGGAAAACCTGCTTACAGTTCCCTCAGATATTCAGTTCTGAGCATGTTTACTATAGCAAGCAAAGAGTAAAAAAAAGTCTTGTGTACTTATTTAGATGCATGTTTACTCATGAGCATTCTTGTGGAAGCACTTGCCATAAATAATGAAGTACTGTGATTAATTTAATCTCTGTGTAAACACAAAACATGTTCAGTATCATGTTAATCTGATTACTTTTATAATTCTGTAAAGATTGTTAAACTCTCCAAGACCGCAGTGCATAGTTTATTTAGAAGCAATGAGTCGTCTGCACCAAGCAATTCCTGTTCAAGTCCTTCAAGGTTAGGACCTTCTTAATTCCCTTTCAAACTCCTCAGCAATTCTGAGATCTCAACAGCTCTACCCTGATATCACAAACTTGGTGTTTAGTATACCAAATGCACAGTTGACGCTTTTTCAGGCATGTGTCTGTGATAAGGATATGTCTTTTGTTAATCAGCATTTTTCCAGGGTAAGGACTCATTACATTCATTTTCAATGTAATTGCTTCATCTGCCATGAAGTAGCAGGGGAATGTTTCACTGCTGTCATCCACTGGCAGGGAAGTAGTTTTTCTTCCGGTTTGCTTAGTGAGGGGTGCAGTCCAGCTGGGTCCACTCAGCATGGCGGCCACTGATTGGCCTATTGTACCTGCCCCGGATGTTTATGATGATGGAGAATTTGGTGGAATGAAGATTGGCAGGGAAAACCGAAGTATTCGGAGAAAACCTGCCCCAGCGCCACTTTGTCCACCATAAATCCCACTTGACCACGCCTGGGATCAAACCCAGGCCACCGCGGTGGGAAGCTAGCGACTAACTGCTTGAGCTATGGCGGGGCCAGATTTTCTTCTGGTTACACAGCTGTACAAAAATTTGTACATTTTTTCCAAACTTGAGGTTCTATAAGATCCACTAATTAGGGGAAAGTTTTCAGTGCTCTCTGCATAAAATGATTTAAACAATTCTGGATCCTGGTTCTTTTAAAACAACAGAAGCAGCTGAATATAAATTGTCATGGAAGAACAGATGCAACCAATGTTTTCTTTTCCCATTTCCTCACTTCTCATGCTGTCTCAGCCACCATCATATTATAACAGGATCAATATTATTATCTGACATAACAGAAATGAAGTGCATGAAATTAAAAATCGCATATTAAGTCAGAAGAATACATCCACATGAGATGATGTGAATAGCTCATCAAACAAAAGTTTCCTAATCTGGAAACTAGTTTCTTGCTTGAAATCAGTGACTTTTCTTTGAAAGTTGAAGTTGCCAGTTTCTTTGGTATGCCCTCGCCCTAAATGTTATTTAATTTATCTTACCTTGGAAATGTCTCCTGAAGATGACATCCCATTGCACAGGTGAGTGAAATCGGTGGTAATCTCCTGGTGCCAGGTATACCACACACTGATACAGAGCTGTGTCTTTGTTAAGTAGCAGGGACTGCCTGTACTCAGATGGACTGCATGTACCTGTAATTTTGTGTAACAACTGACAGTAAGGTTAATATTTATTCAATTCAGTTACTTCATTATATAGGGGCATATTTTTCATTTTAAATGGGAAAAAATAGGCTTTTTTACATTTATATTACACACTCTTTGGAAGTTTTAGAAGATGTGACAGTGGAATTTCTCAAAACCAAAGGATGACGTCAAATTCTCCAGATTTAAGTCCATTGCTTTACCATGTTTTGAAGGTACTTAACCCCTAAATCGTGCTCTTTTAGTTACATAAATGGTTCAAAGGTTTCAGCACAAGATGGTACCTAATTCTCCAAGGTCTATTTAACAGTTCTACACCCATGTGGCATCCCTTTGCTTACAAGAAAATGTTTAAGCAAATCAAATATGTTGAGCTCACATGTTTACTTGGTGGGTCAATGCTTTCTTCACCGGTGGTTTCAGTTGCTTTACTGTGAAAATAGTTTAGTGGCAGGATTTTGTTTCTATAATAAATATATATATTATTTATAATATTTTTGTTATATTTTTCAGTTTCCTTCCTTCCATACTTTACACTGCCAACTGGATCAATGGCAAATAAATTCTGACTATCAATACAATCATTTCAGCAGAGATTGAAAATACACTAATTCAATTCTCAAAAACAACTGTCACCTTGATCTTCTTGAAAAACAAGGAAAACATTCATCATTCTTCTAATATTCTTGTTTTAATGCATATTTCTAATTTAATGTATAATTACCTAATACAATCTTGATGTCTTGATTTGTGTGGTTTGAATATGTATGTGAAAGCTTCCCATTCCATGTGGGCTCCCCAAGGAATCCCTGCAATGAGTATGTCACACCCTTCACCTGTTCCACACTGCATGTCTCAACAGGACCAAAGCTGATCACACGACCGTCAGCTGGTGATACCTAAGAAATCACAGCAACATTACTCATCAGCAGAAGTACACAAATATTGGCCAACAATGCATTCACATATTACTCAAAATTTTAAGGAAAGTCAATACAGAATTATGATATTTATTCTGCTGTAGACATAACTCATTATGATCCTACTTCTTTCAATTTTTATATGGAAACCTCTATATTTAAACTACAAGATGTATCATTTAAATGAAACTTAAACTACAGAAGTATCTGCAGGCTTACAAGTGACATCAACTTAACAAAACAAAAGCGTTACTTGTAGTTTTTCTCCATTTACAGTAACATATATAACAGCTTTACAGCAGATGCTGAAAATGTCCAGCACCTTCTTGGAGACAAATGTCTTCCAACTTAGTATGTTTTGTGTAACTTAAAAAGAATTTATGAGTTAATGCCAGCACTAGTCTCTTCAACAGTATGTTCTGTTTCCTCCAGACTTTATGGGTTATTCAAGCAACACAAATCCCTATAATAAGAATGAGGGTAGTATGAGGTCTGGAGACTGGGGTGACCGAAGGCCATGCCCAACAATGAGGTCCCCAAATAACTCTTGGGGTAAAGCAGTTGTGTCTGCAGTGTGGGTAATCACCACATGATGTTGAAACCATCAATCCCCTTCAGTTTTCTCCAACACAGACAAGAATTATGTGAGATTGTTCTGATAATGTTTCCCATGAGACACAACCTGTCATAAACATCTCATGCTTCCCAGACAGTTATCGTCAATTTCATTACACACAGGAAATAGCTTCTGATTTCATTTCTGTACTGTACTACTGTGTTTTGTTTTAAATGGTACATCCCATATTAGGACTTTCCACAAGCACATTATTCCCCACACAGATAATAAGAAAGGTGATGGAGCCCAGACCACTTACTCATGCACACACCTCAAGACTCATGTGATATACAACAGCACTGCAGTTTCATACAAAAAATTCTGCATAAACATCAACATCGAAAACAAAGCCTCCTCCAATTCTCTGATATTAGAACACTAAAAGGGTTCCAATGGGCCCACTCCCAAGCCAATTACATCGGACTTACTTTAACCCATCTTTCTGAGATCCACTTTAAAGTTATCATACAAACTTCAAATCACATTTAAAAGCTCTCAATACTTTAGATATAAAAATTCTGTAAGCACTGCTTATGTATTTACATTCCCCCCCCCCCCACAGTTATGGGAGGCACTATGCT